GGAATTCTGGTTTCTAATTACTCCCGCGGACTTGGAGTCTCCCGTTTAGTGAGGTTTTCGTGAACTTGCGTCGATTTCTTGCGACCATCATCCCTCGCGCAGTGCGTGCAGGGGATATACTTAAATCTCGTGTGAACAGTGCGAGATCTATAAGACGCCGTGCGTGGAATTTACAGTTAATTAATATTCGTCGTCCCGCGTGCATTTTGTGCGGTGAAACGGTAACTCGCGTCTTCTATTTCCGTCTCGATTTCTGCTTCGAGCGAATAGCTCGCGCGGGACGAAGCTGCAATGAGCCTATATCGTTGAACGAAGTCGTAATTGATTGCCGATTGTTCGCGAAAGGAGGAAGAGGACCGAGTGCGCGAGTGAATGTTAGTGCTAGTGTTGTGCTTGGAAGGAAACCAGTGGGAATTGCGAACTGTTTCGTTGCGCCATTCGCGGACGGTTGCTCGTTGCGTCGTGATTTGAATGTGGCCGTTTCTCTCGTGCGTCGTCGCATTCCGCGTCGATTGACAATTTATCTCCGATTCTTCGCGAAAGGAGGAAGAGGACCGAGTGCGCGTGTGAGTGTCAGTGTTAGGCTGATGGCAGACAACAATCCGTAAGCGCTTAAGACTGACGTAGCCGTAGACTTAAGGTAAGGCAGAGAAAAACGTAAGCCGTGGAACACGTGTTCCTTACGGCTTACGTTTTTCTCTGCCTTACCTTAAGTCTACGACTACGTCAGTCTTAAGCGCTTACGGATTGTTCTCTGCCATCAGCCTTAAGCCTCCGCTACAATGATTCTCGGTTCTGATTGTAGACAGAACCGAGAATCATTGTAGCGGAGGCTTTAGTGTTAGTGTCGCGTCGACGGAAACGGGCGCAGCCGGCCATCCGAGAGGTCAGCCTGAGAGGAGGAGCAGGCCTCGGCAAGGGCATCGGGCACCGGCGGAGGAACTTACGGTAACTTTCATTTTGCACAAAAGCGACCTTTTTAGCCATTTATTTTCGAGTCGTTACACTGCACCATAACTTAACAGCTAGAAAGAAGTAATTTGAAAATTTATTAAAGTTCGTTCCTGCGATTTTTTTCCGAAATACGTTTAATTGTTTAAGTATAAATATCTCTTGACTCCTTGCGTTCTGTGTCGATTGATAATTTATTTTCGATTCTTTGTTACAGGAGTACGAGGACCGAGTGCGCGAGTGAGTGATAGTGCTAGTGTTGTGCTTCGAAGGAAACCAGTGCATCCGAGAGGACAGCCTGAGTGGAGGAGGAGGCCTGAGCAAGGGCATCATGCATCGGCGGAGCAACCTTGCGGTACTTATCTTCCACTTTGCGCAAACGCGATCTTTTTCGCCGTTTTTTTTTCGAGTCATTGTATTGCACCATAACTTAACAATTAGAGAGAAAGAAGTAATTTGAGATTTTATTAAAGTTCCCGTGAATTTTTTTCGAAAGACGTTTAATTATTCAAGTATAGATATTTTATTGATTAGAAAGTTCATTACGCGTTAGAAGTGTATTTTAAGACTTTGTTTTTTTAACATTATTTGAATATTAATTTCACGTTTGTGCATTACAGAATCATCGTAGCGACGTTGCAGTTATAACTCCGCTGTTGCGCGTCAGGGTCGGTGAGTGCTGAATTAATTTTTATTATTGAGGTAACGGATCTGTGGTAGATTTGTTGAATATATACATATACTAATGATGCATATATGTGTCAATCTGTTAATATAAAGATATTAAATAGGAATGTAAAGCATTTCGTGCATCCGTTACCTTAAAATTGATAAGTTAAAACAGATTAGGAGAAATTTAATCCTGGATTTTACAATGACATATATTTTGTTGCATAACGTAGTGTGTATACGAGAACGTACTCTTGCACACACTACGTACAAAGTAAACATCGAGAATACCATGAGAATATGTAGTATTTATTATTTTAATTAACAATGTTATTTAGTTAATTAAAGTTTATTTTATTCAGCACATGTGTGCATTACATTATTCTTCATAAATATACTGACAAAGGAAGAAAAGGTAATAGATGAAACAAAATTATAACAATCGAGATATTTTTGAGACTTTTAAATTTACTGCTGTACTTAAGTTTACTCATGGTATTCATACATATAATATGTTGTTATCCACAGGGAATAAGTATGAAATATTTGTATATTGTTATTTATGAGATATGTTATTTTTTATTATTACTATCATTTCGTTCTCCATTTCACTACAATCTTTTGTCCAGGATTAAATTTTATATAAGTTAGTGCAGAAAAGGAATATACATATAAATATTCCTTTCTAAGTAGTATTGCTAATTTACTTATATACGTTTGTATGGTAATAATTAAATTGCAACAAATATTTTAACGTAATATATTTCTTACAAATTAGTAATCTATTTTTTTATAAAAGATACTTATGGTTACTGAATCATTATTACCTACTTTAACGCACTAACTTTAGCCTAAGCTTTTATAACTTATATGTAGTTGTTGATAACTGGGTTGTATACCAGTTAGTAATATTATGACGTGAGATCCAATATACATTTTGTTATGAAAGAGGAGACTCAGCTTTCTCTAGAAATTATTTTAAAATCGATCGGTTTCGAGTCGCTTAAAAATACTTGAGTTGTAAATTAAGAAACATGGTATAACATATTACGCAACAAATAGTTCTAATAATCTACGAAGAGATATTTTTATTAAATTCTGTAATTCTAATTGGGAAATTTATATTATCCCTTTCGGATCTCACGTCATTCATCTGAATTTTTCATCTCTGCATGCTTTTGAGATGAGATTCAGAAACGAATCGTTCGAATCGACAAAAATACGCCCTTATGTCCCTTAGATTCAATCGGATGACGCGTCTAGCAATTTTTATTCATTAATTTCCAAATTAAAGTTCCGTTGTTTTTTACTTTATCGAGTTTAAAAGTTTTGTGTAAAGTTTAGAATCGCGATCCCTTCGAATCAAAACGCTGTCGAGATAGAGATTTTTTTTCTAATCGGTTATATATTTTAATTATTGGACACATATTTTAATTGCGAATAAACGCGTGTAAAGAATAAATTCGTGATGTAATTATTATTTTTATTGCTCACAGAACGCTGTACGTAATTGATTTAATTAATTTGACGACCCCTTCGCGACGCGTTCGTGTTTCGCGCATCATAAGCGTAGAATCTTACGCTTATTGCTGGCTCTGATCAGCTGGCAGCAGAAGGAGTATATCTCCTTGCTGTCGATTTCTGGCTACGTAAAGCCAGGGTATTGGCCAGAAAAAGGTGAGTTTGTCTGGCCAGAAGAAAGACAACGAAGTAGAGTACACAAGTGGTGTACGTATAACAACGTGCGATTGCACGTAATCGAAGACGGAAATATACCGTCTCCAATTAAATAAAACTTCTCTATATTCCGCGTAAATTAAAATCCCAATTAAAACTACCAAACGGTCGCGATTTAAAACCGAATTCGCACTTCTAAAATTTCAGGTGACCGCGATCGTAACTAAAGGTATATTAATGATAAGGCAGGAATATTATGTACGTAGAGAGAAATACGGGTAAAAGCCAGATAAACATCGGGTAGATAGGAAAATGAATAAACAAGAGTACGAGATAGGAATATGGGGCTGTAATTTTCGGCAATGAAGGGAAATTTAATTTGTATGATAATTTAGGTAGAAAATTTAAGAAATCTAGTTAGGAAAATGAATGTGTTACTATACGGGTAGGTTATAGGATTTGAGGATAATTCGATGAGTATAACATTTTATTTACTTTGTAGATTTATTACTGCACATTTTTATGCAACGGATTAACGTAAGGATGTGGTAGGTAGGATTGGGGGATAATTTCGGGGGGTGGGGGGGAGGGATTAATTTATTATATAGGATAACTGTAAAACGTGTATCGAATGCCGATGTTTTGATAGATTGGTATCTTCCCGGCGTCTGACATTCACGATATTTATCGTCTAGTTACCGTCCATGGTAGAATTTCCGCTTCACCTTGCGGCTCCGTCGATGCAAATATATGAGCGGCTCGGAAAGCTTTTTCGCTCTTTCGACTCGCTCAGGTCGCTTGTTCAAGACTTCGCTACGCGAGAAGTAAGTTCGACGAAACTTTCCGTTGCATTTTGTAAGGCAGAGTTACGTGACGTAACACGTTACGTTAGAATGCATTATATTGCCGGCTGCAGCATTAAAGTTGCTCTTGTCTTTCTCTCTCGACGTAATGCTTTACATCGTAAGACGAGACTCTTGTGAATTAATATCGTAAGAAAAAGGGCACATCCTCCACTCTCGGAGTAGATCTCACCTCGCCTGAATACGCAACTATCATTGAGAGAAGGAATATTAAAATTTAAAATATATTTGTACTTTTAATACGCAGTTGGAAAATTTGTGTTTTCTTGTTTAAAAAAGTGCCGGTTAAAATTTTTGTGTTAAATGTTTAACACATTCATGTGTTAATTTCACATATTGCTCTTGCGTTAATCGACCTTAAATGTAAAATTATTGAAACACTGAAAAGAAATGTTAAAACAACACAATATGCACTTATTTTCAATCTGACACAATGCATATGTTCTATTTTATTAGTAACAAAATTTATGTGTTAAAATTGACAGAATAAAACATTGATTTTATTCTGTATAACATAAGTGAGAGTGATTTCAAACCGACATTTGACTTATTACATCTTTAAAACGTAAAAATTACATTTTTTAACATTCATTTTGTCATTAAAAATGAGTTAATTTTTGCAGAAAATTTATTTCAAATTATTTTGAGATTTGCATTTGTTTTGTGTTAAAATATTAACAGAGTACTAGTGTGATCATTTAACATATCCATATTATGTTAAATTAACACACAAAAATGTGTGTGGACCGTTGGTGACATGTGATATCTGTTAAATTTAACACAAATTTTTCAACTGTGTATATTTAAAAGGGGTGGGAAGCCGTGTAATACACAGACGCGTGAAACGTCGAAGTAGGTTTTTATTGTTCCATATTTATACACATAATAAGCATACGAATACATCGTATTAGGTACTATAGATCGTATATGTAACTTACACGTATACTTATATGTATATATATATATTTATCTATAATATCCAGCGTTTTGTACAATAAATAAAGACTCTAGAGCATTTTAAACATAACATCGCGCGTTCCCGCGCGACCATTGCGTCGAGTATACAATAATTCAATAACGAGCTCTCTAATATATCCCTCATTACACTTAAGATTATCGCGAGAACGCGAATTACCGATGATTGTGGGCAGTTTTTACGATCGATATCACGAATATCTCAACTCCGAGTCGAGATATATTACTGACTACTTTTCTTCGCAATAGATGCCGCGATTTCGTATATGTTTATTATCTCGTCACGTTTCTTTCGCATTAATATATCAATTAATTGGTAATTATGGAATGATGGACTAACGAGCCTTTTCAATTGTTTTCTGTACGTGACGAAGGTCTCGAATTTACTTTCGACATCATTCAAGACGACAAATTGTCAAAGAAATTGAAAATCTTAATAAAAAAAGACATCCGCGAGAATGAAAATTAAATGCCCGTCGTACAACTCATTAAGGGCACTATCACATTTGACGTACGACAAATTTTTTTAAGTGTGTCGATTGGCCACAAGATAGAAGATTTCTAGACGCTCGGAAATTTTTCTATCCTGCGGCCAATCGACACGCTTGAAACATTTGTCGTACGACAAATGTAATACCAGCCTAATCCTTTGAATATCCCGACGACAAGTAGATGAATTAATAATCCCAATTAGACTTGTCCAAAAATCGATGCTAAATTTGGGAAAATTTGACCGAACGTGATTGAGCCAATTCCGGAGAATCGGCGAAAACACGCATGCGTTGAACCGTCGTCCGGTCTCGAGACTCGGGATCTCTCGAGAGACATATAACAATCCGGAGCCGAGGCGTCGGTAATAATTTTTCAATAAATGACGAGATATTAAAAAAAAAGTAATAACAGCCTCGCGCACGCGGATCGGATGTGAGAAATACGCAGCCGGGTCGTAACGCGAGTTACGGGATTCCCGTGTAATCGTCCGATAAATCCGCCGTATGCTCGAAAAGAAATATCGTGTTTAAGCTTAATTCGGAAGTGAGGGTGATAAAAATTGATGGCACGGTTCTCGCGTGGTTAACGCCCGCGGCCTCGTAAATTCTGCATAACGGTGCGACGTTTCGTTACGGAAACAACGGTAACTCTCGGGGCCGCTCTCGGGGGGGCACGGGGATCGATAAGCCGGCCTTCCTTCCCCGAGCTATCGAGCTCCGCCAGGCCTTAATCGCGTCCCATCGTGAGCTTTAATTGTTTACTCGCCCCTCCAACACTTACAGCACGGCGCCGCGCTATTGCACAATCGATATTAATTTACAGCAATCAGCGCGGCGTCGGCCTTAATTATTGATAATCCCCTCACACGCCCGTAGCTCTTTTGAAATGTCCGTATACGTCGATGCGGATGATTATTTTACGCTCTTATTTTCGTCACGTTAACACATCCGCGAGTTGTCCGACATTGTTCTAGATAAAGAACACAAACTCGCATACAAACGACCAAGATTAGTACTTTTTTGTTTAATCAATATTCAATTACTTTCTCGGGTGTATTTTTTACAATTTTGCAAACATCTAAATGAGGCTTATCAAGCGCATCGGACTTTTTAGGGATGCGTAATCGTTTTACATTCGCGTAATCGTTGCTCTCTCTCTCTCTCTCTTTCTCTCTTTATATATATAATGTTTCAATGTAATTGATTTAATTCGTCATTGATCACAATCACACTTCGCATCTTGATATTAATCGATCGATAATTCATATCGGATCTTTATGGCATTTTATATACCTATATATTTATATAAATATGATTATTTTAACAACTACATTATTTTATAATAGACTTTCTAGTAATAACGGCATCCCGATAATGAGTAATAAATTTGCTTTATAGAGTTACATACAAAACAATTAACAAAATAATAATTAGAATTGCTGTATTTCGAGTAGCACTTTATATTTTAAAGCGAAATAATTGTCGCCGCTTGAGTTATTAGTCGCGTAGTTGGATTAAACTATTATTTTCCTTACACACATAATTCATATAGCTCTACGATTGCACATCAATTTAATAAATGGAGAAAATAAAATGAGACTTAAATGTTAACGATGAAATTTGTGTCGTACGCAATGGAAACGCTAAGAGAATTACGTATTTCAATTACGTTCGCAGCTTATCAGATAACTGACGCTCTTAATCGTAGATGACTGTAGAGAAAAACATTCGAGAATTGCAGATTGAACGTGAAATTGTCACGGTACATCGATATCCTCCCTCGCGCGATATTTGGTTCGATAGTTTAGACTTTAAACATTCGACAATTCGCTACACCTATCCATCCTCGCAGAATCAGCTTGACCGCTGACACCTATTGTCATTTTACATTCGGCTAACATCCGGTAACATGTACGACATTCTGTCTATCGTGTCTCGAGTTCGTGCGAAAGAACGACGATTCGATTCGTTTGGTTATTTTTCGGAGACACGTATCATCCATGTACGATGAAATAATTTATATCGATGCGATTGGAAACCGCATAAATTATTGTATATCTTTTTCGAGAAACCGCGGACGGTATTTTATTCGTGTAAAGTTTAATAAAACTGCAGGAAGGAAATGTCAATTTAAATAATCGGACTTAGCATCCATTACTTTATGGAATAAAATTCTGACGGCGACTAGTTATTTTCTGAAAAAGATGGTGTGTTACTTATGCGGCTTGCAGTCGTATTGATTCATTTAAGTTGAACACTTAGATCTTTCGCTTAAAATTACGAGCAAAGTTCCGAAAAGCGTATTTACCTCAAATTATTTTAAAGCCTAGTGTAACGAAGAATAAGAGATATTCATCCACTTGCCGGTTGAAATTAATTTCATTTAACAAAAGTGCAAGTTAAATTTAGCCTCGCGGAGACGAACAAATCGTGATAAAAGATTCCGCTGCTTATTTTTCCGAGAGAGACATCGGAGCCGAACTTGACGGTAATTCGGGCAAAAATCTCTTTTCGGAACTTTAGCCAAAATTACAATTACTTATCGTAAATACGCGCAACGTTGGACCGGTCTCAAAAGATATCCGTAGAAGACATCGATTTTTCGATAGCGCGCGTGTAGAAATTCCGAAACGGTCTACCTCTCCCTTCGCATTAAACATTAGAAACATTGAGAGATGTATAAAAATTCGACGATCAAAGCTATTGATGGTCTTTATATATTTTTTTTACTTTTTTCGCGAATAGGATATTCGATAATCGTGCAAAAAGACTCGATTTGTGCGGATTTGTTCCTCTTTCGGCGAATCAGGCTGATAAATCAGTAATTGCCGACGGTGTCGTGAAAAATGGGGGGGGAGTTATCTATTTGCGTAGTCGTTTGAAAATTCCAAGCGCGAATACGGAGATTTCGGTGATTTCGTTACGACGGCGGCAGAACGAAACAGAACGACGCCCCGTCGTCGCGACGACGTCGCGACACTCGCGAGCTGTACGTGACCCGAACCAGGTAATATAGGGTGTCTTGGAAAAGGCTTCACGAGCTTTTTTATACAGTACTTACCCGACTCTGTGAAAGAAAAATCCACTGCGTTATCGGGATCGTCAATAATGGAGAGGCGAATGTAGAAAATCTTTTGAAGCGCGCCTATAACTTTTTGCCTCGCACGATAAAGAAAGATGAAAATATTCTCACGAAAGGAAAGATTAATAAAACTTGAAGCGGTAGATCAGCTGTCGCTCGACGCTTCGCACAAAGCAGCTTTGACCGTAAGCCGCGGGCGTCTCGTCGCTATACTTGTGAAGACGTTAGCTGGGACTGGGTCACGGTGACCACTCACCACGGTCAACGTCAGCCTCGTTCCTAAGAGTACACCGTATACGGAAATCCCCGGAAGAGACGAGAGCGAATCTCGGGGGGGGAACTTCTTCCCGCGGAACTGCATTATCGCCGTTCAGACAGTTCTGCAATCTACATGAGGTTGCTGCATCAGTGGAACTCGAAATCGTCGAGAGCATACCTCATTCTCCCTCTCGCTCCCTCTCCTTCCCTCCGTCTCTTCGTATATTTGACGGAGACACACAAGACACCTCTTGGCCCCGTAGTCCCATTTCTCATCCCCCTCCGCCCCTCCCCGTAATCCCGCGCTCTTATCGGCGGGACGCGAGTCGGGCATCGAGATGTTCACCGCGATAAGGCAATTCGAGGGAACTTTTCTGACGGACTGGTATCGGAGAAAGGGGAACAGAGAGAGATGGAAAGAGAACGCTTCGAACATCCCCCAGCGTGGTCAAAGGGATGCCAAGAGGTGCGCCAAACGAGTACGCGTCCCTCAGCTATCGGAAAAGTATTTACGGAAAATCCCCAACGCGGTTCTCGCGCGAGAGATTCTGATGTTCCGTCATTCTTACTCTCTCTCTCTCCCTCTTTTTCTCTATTACGGATTTCGTTGGGATTTGCGCCATTAAAGGGAGGGGAGAGGGGGCCACGTATTTTCGCAACGGACGCAAAGTGATCTTAACAACTTTTGCTGAAACTTCGGGAGTGCTCCTTCTTTCTCCCGGCTCTCGCGATGAATCTGTTCGTAGAAACTTAGATCCGCGCCGCAAAAAAAAACGTGGTCATCACGTACGAAGAGGAAAATAATTAGCTTGGAAATAATTTTTTATCTAATACAGCTGCAAATGCATTAAGTCCAAGTATCGAAGCAGACTTTTTCCAATAAAAGCCGATGCAAAATCACCTCGTTTAGCGAATTTGTTGCAAGAGAGGACGCGTTGGCATGTAACTGAAGAAAACACCACGGGGAAAAAAATGAACCCCGCGGTACACGCGCTTTGTCCGCGACAAACTTTTTGCTCTCGCCACAAAGGGCCTTTGATTAAAAACCGTGCGGAATGGCGAAGAGCGAGATGTCCACGAAGGACCACGGGGGCAAAGAGGGCGCGAGGGGAAGAAAAATTGCCTAATGGGTAATTCATTCTCAGCGAAGGAACAAACGACGGCGGACGTCGCTGAAAAATATTCGAGTGGCCGACGGATCCGGGGGATCTATAAGGGGATAGAACAGAAGAAGCTCTCTCGCGTGGGAATCGCAGATGATATCGATGCTCTTCCTACGCTCGATCTCGCTGCGCCCCTCGCGATCCCGATCCCCCTTAAAAGTCGTCGGAGCCATCGAATCGCAAATCCCGCCGACGTGATTCTCTCCGTGCGATTACCTGGAACCGGGAACGCGGATCCAAATCGCAGTTTTGTCTTCGCGATGCTGATCGAGTGTCCACGATGATGACGTTAAGTTAATTGCGAAAGATACCTTCGATGTCAATGATCGAGCGTCCGGTCGCCGGTGGAATTTTAACCCCTTGCGACTCCCTCGTTTCGCTTGACATTAGCTCGCGCATCGATTGATGCACACCGAGTGTTGCGCATGAGAAAGAGTGACACGATAAATGGAGCTTATTAATTGCCTTGCGTGAAATTTAATTTTAGTTAAAAATGTTTTAAACGACTCACCTGAATATGCGCTTTAAATATTGACGTGTGTAACGATCATATTTTATTTTGTAACCGCGTAGAACATACTCCTTTTGTTTTTATCTAGTACTATCCGTTAAAGTTAGTAAAAACAGATCGTAATAATGTAGTAAGTCGTAGTATAAATTTAGAAAAAGGAGATCGATTCCGTAATTAAAAATTGTTCCGTGAGAGCTTAAATTATATATCGCGGAGAAAGTTCGCGATGCTAAAATTATTTAATTCGGCGCGCGGGCATTTTATAGATACGCAACTAACGTAACACGTGTACGTCGAGTACACAGTCGACGGATTTCCGTAACCCGGCGTAATGCTCCTAAGATTACTCGCACGGCAGCATCCAAAGTGTTAGCACAATCGCGTTAATTAGTCTGAGACGGAGAGACACAGTCGGGGCGCGATCTGGCGATCTGGGCGTCTCGAGTTCGATCGATCGTCCGTTTAATTTCACTACTGCCAGGACCTGAAGAGGATGCTCGACGAGAGGAGGCCGACGAGGGTCGCCCAGCCGACGAGATCGAGCGCGCCCCGCCTGGATCCGGTGCCGCCGTTGACGCAGGTCTCGCGGATGCTGATGATCTTGAGGCCGCGGCGCGACAGGAGATTGTGAACGCCTCGTTTGTCGCTCTTCTGCAAAGTGTGCTCGCGTGACAACAGGAGGGAGTAGAGCTGACTGTTGGGACTCCGGGAGCAGAAAGTCAACACCATGTCCGAGGCGACGGCCTTCATTACGTGCACGTTGCCGGCGAACTGCTGGTACGAATGCCTCTCCGCTAAGGTACCTGCAAATTAAATCAGCAACCGGGTTAAAAGAAGCAACGGGACGTAATACGCAAGACAAGGGGGGGAGGGGGAGAGGGAAGAAGGTGAGAGGGTGAGGAGGCCTCCCTATCGAATTTCCTGCCCCGGCTTTTCGCGTCAGCTTCCGTCCGCTGCACGAAGTAGAATCTCTTGTACAAACGGAACTGTCGCGACTGCAGAAATAAATGTCTGTCGACGACAAGTCTATTTTTACGAAGTAGTTTTATCTTCACGTGGAATGCTCTTGAGTGAAATAGGAAGAAGGGTGGAAGAGCGGGGACACTTTGTACTCACGGATTTTTGTTTCACGTGAAAATAACTTGTCGTGATATGAAAGATAAAAACTGGGAAAATTCAAGCTCCCCGTCCGGAGATTATTTAAAAGATTAAAAGATCCTGCAAATAATATAATATGTTTTAAACGAGAATTCTGAGACGTGTGTCAGGCAAATAATAGCACGGTAATAAAAATTTACCCGGCGGTGCGGTTGATCCGGTAAATTTAACACGCACGCATTAATGGCGAGAATGATAGATGAGGCTCTCCGGGCCGCAGAGCTTTCCGAAATGGGTATCTAAGATATTGTCGGGATAGGGACGCGCGACAATAAAGAAGGATTGAGCAAGCAACGAAAGCTTGACTTTCCAATTTCCTGTCTCTACTGATACGGCGACGAGACGAAACATTATATAGTTCACCTATATACAACGCCGTTGTCCCACAAATAATGCAACTCATGTATATTACACACTAATCTACACGTGTGCACACATAGTGAATGAAAAAGGCATTTGGATACCTCGTTTATTTTTGGGAAAATTTTGCACGAAAGAAAAAACGTTTCTACGAGTTGGTTTATTCAGTGTATTACTGGAAACGCAAACAGAATGTAATAAAAATACGACGTTACCTTCTTGTTTTGCATAAAATTTTTTCAAACGGGACAAGGTACGCAAATATTTTTCCACATACTGCACGCATGTGTACCGCACTGTGTGCCGACGATATTAAAAAATTATACTTTCAAGCTTATTTGGATTTAAAGAAAATTATGATGTTGCGTCATGTACGCTCCACCACATGAAGGCGTTATACAAAATTGATGTGCCGTCCGATGAGCTTTCAGATTCGATTAATCTCCTTATAGCATTTGGGTGGTGATTAAGTAGTTCGGGTAATGAGTACGAGCGTTGCGAAGCAATAAAAAGGCTGATGCGAGTAGTACGAAATTACAAAGAAACCAAAGTGTTTCCTTTAGAAACTTCCACAGCGAGTAACAAATAGTGGCGCAATACCATTGTATTTAGTATCATTTATCACGGACTTGGCACTTTTATCTGAACACGTTTAATGGACTAAGTCGGGGCTTTGACAAATGTAAGTTTCAACCACTTCACCGGACCCTGAGATATAAACTCCAACCCGTGCAATGTTTAATCTGCAAAAATGTTTGATCTAAGTGAATTGACCGGGATAAAACACGGCGGGTGTTCCGCACCTAAACGCCACCGTCTGCTTCGTGTAAACGATGCAAAAAATTCACAGTCACGTTTTTATCACGCGTTATTCTTCGTCTTGCGGCTCGCGGCTATTTTCACATTAAACCGAGTTAATTGGGCCGCTATTTGCAAACGCTGGGATAATCGGACAATTACAATATACTTGAATAATCAGAATTGCAGTGATTTGATTACGACCTCACTTGTTGGCGTAGTTCAGACGGGATTCGATGATAATTCGTGACGACGCGAAATATACGGGTGTGAAGTGGAAATACGCAATATTACGGCTCATTACGTAGTTGAGAGCGCACTTAACGTTATGAAGGGAAATATACGGAGACGAGACGGCAAGCACGTGTACAATCTATATGCGCAATGTGCAGCGACCATAAGCGATGCATATGCATTCCACATTTCGCGGGATCATCGCGCGATGTCGGAAATATTTCGCTGGAGATAGCACTTTAATACCGACATTTAGACGCATCCGTTACGTTTACAACTAAACTTGTGCACAGAGAGGAGGGACGGATCCCACCCCTGTGGGGTCTACCGCCAGGTTTTAATGCGATCTTCATACGTTTTTTTATAGTTCCAAAGTCGAATGAAAATGTCAAAAAGTTCTCATCTCGAAGACATACAAATATACATCTTCCTTGAGAATTCCTTGAGAAGGACCGCAACCCGTACGGTCGAAGCGTCGGATTTAAATAAAGAGACCATCTGCCAGTCTAAAGTCGTTACACAATTCTTTTTATCGTTAATCAACTAGTGGCGATTCACATTCTTTCGTTGTTAAAGATACATATATCTATATAACATTTTTATGCCACTCGACATTCGTAATTGAAGTTGACCAAAGTGTCGTTAAACAACAACGTCGTTCCACGTATGGATACGTGACATATCGATCATTGCCGCAAGACACTGTCGTATCCTGACAATTCATTGAAATGACGATTCATTGAAACGGTTGCGATTGACATTTACTGCGACTGGATTGTTCCGGCTATTAAGCAAAGCGACGGTGAATCGCGCGCAGTCGACGAAATCGAAAGCGCGACGCGATACCCGTAATTACATCGTGGTAGCAATTAGATGTTTACTTACTCGCGTTTACTTGCCAATTGCGAAGTCACGAATTATATTAAAACGACATGGTAATTGCAACGTGCACGACTAATTGCATATGCCGCGAATATGCCGGCAATGTCAGCGCCGTAATCGCTTCAATCGATACATTGTCCTGATCAGTATTCAAAATCGTTCCCGTAGCGCGACACTATCATTACATTTTCCTAACTACTGTGTATATCGCCGCCCTAAATTGAGCGATTGAGCGATGGATTGCAATTTACTTCTCTCCGCGCGTATGTAAACAATTATAAATTAACGGCCAAACGGTATACCTTACCGATAAACGAGAAATCGTATATTAACAAGCAAACCAATTAACTGATTAGCCTAATGACTATATTCATCTGCCTCTCTCTTTCTGTCTGCTCCTTGCTGCAATATTATAACGTATGCCACAAATGTTTATATTCACCGAGGGGAAAAAATTTTGAAAAGAAATATTTTTTTATTCAACTGTGCACAGCGATTACGAACTGCCAAGCAAATATTAATCAATTCACAAAAATATTTGTCAATTCAAAAAAATACACGTTTTCCGCTAGATGACTGTCTGTTTAATTTAAAAACATGTATATTTGAATCAAAAAAATACCGCCAACTAAAACTTATTTAGTCAATTAAATAACTTTTTTTTTACTTAGTGTAGTTGTCGTTTAGGGTCTTCAGTTAAAGTAACACTTAAAAAAATTCTTCTAACTTAACTTCCATTACATTTTATTTGGTTTAAATTGAATTAAATTTTGTGCGATTTCTTTGATCGTGTAGCACTTTTGCGTATGCATCTCTTCATCTCTAACTTTTAAGAAAAGAGCAGCGCTACCCGTTTGCAAGTTTGAAAACTAGGTCGTTGGTGCAAAGATAAGAGGTCTTTATCTTCTCTGAAAAGTTGTTCCAACCGCGCTTAGATCCTGGGCGGGCGGCACTTACATCCATATATTAGTCTCTCAAGGGTCTCTTCATCGTCTCGTCAAGCGTCCAGTAGCCGCGAACTACGTTGCGCGAGAATTATGAATTCCATCGCGAAAAACTGCCCCGAATCTTCGTTTTTAGTGCCTAAAGTACGGCGGCTGCAAGCCCTGATGAGATTCCCGGCCGAAGTTGGGGGGGAAGTTAAATTTGGTGAGAGGAAGATGTCGGAGGAAAGTTTTCATTTCGCGTCGTCTATAAAACGGCAAAAACACTCTCGCGAGCGAATCCTCGCGCGGTCCTAGTGCTTCCGGCTCAAGGACCGGCTAATGCACGAAATTGATTTAACTTTCCGTAATAAAGTCGTTCATGTTGGGCCGACGAAAAAGTGACCATTGATCGCGCGCGCGTCTCTCTTTTTCCGCCTTAAGGAAAACGACGCGATATGTTAGCATGTTTTGCGTCTTTTGTGCAATCAGCTGCGCGCGCGCGTGTGCATGTGTACGTGCGTGCGGGCGAATGTTATTTTAGCCGGCAAGGTATTCGAGATACGTGCAATTTCAAAATTTCGCGTCAGCGAAAATTGCATTTTAAATTAATAACAGCCCGTTGTTTGTCGGAGAGAGATATTTGACTTGATATTTATTTTTTATTACTTTTTATTTTTTATCCGGCACGCCGCTGTCTCGAAATTTAATCAACCGCAGGATAAATTTAATTGTTCACACATGTGTACACGTATTTTATCGTCATGTTTTCTCCCTCCTCCCCCTTCTCCCTTTCTCTCTCTTTTTCTCTGATATAGAAAGATATTCCTCAGGAATTCTATTACGCTGGAATTTTTCTGGTGCCTCGATATTGAAATACTAGGTCAAAATTGGGTTTAACGAGAACTTTCTGACGCAAAACGTCAAAATTAAAAAATGCTCCTCAAGTAATTTAACAGAAATGCATTCTTGCTTGAAACAGATAATTATAACACTTGCTTTATGAAAAAGGTTCGCGATCAATTAAATTTTCACTAACGAAGTATCGATTATTGATCAGGGAAGAGATGTTCTTCAAATGTTTGGAAATTGATTTGAAAACTGTCGCGTATCAAACGTCCATGGCACTCAACACACTGGCGAATTAAAGCGATATAAAGGAATTGATTTGAGTAATTCTTTTTTAATTTTATTAGAACATCTTCATCATTGTACGGATCGCGTATTTATCACTTTTAGCTGAAAAGCAGAAAACTTATATAATCTTGCCGCTTGAAAGGTACGGCGAAAGTCGCTCATTTCAGAGAAACCTGTCGTTTTCCTGAATGAAGATTCATTCGCGAGAGGATTAATATGAGAGCGAACTCGGTAACTGTCCCAAAGTTCCGGCGACTCCACAAACAACGTCCGTGCATCAATCGGGTATATACGCTCTTGCAGCCTCACGATGCGGCATATTATCCTCGGTAGTTCAGATCGTTTTCGGTTTTCGGATTAGTATACTCCGGCAGACAGGCTGAACTGAAACGAAATCCCGGAGAGACCTCAATCCGCATTACGTTCCGCGTCTGCTCGCGCGCCATTATACAGGATCTCGTATTTGCTGTTGGCCGATAGCGAAGGATAGTGGCGGACAAGCTATTCGGCAGAGTGGTTGCCCGCGGGGTAGAAGGGAGAGGAGGGGGAGGAGGAGGAGAACTTGCAGAGTCGGCCGGAAAGAAATTAGAAAGAGCAGATGGCCGTGCGACTTTTGAAAAATTATTTTCCACGTCGACGAGCGCTTTCTTCTCGGAGGTGCGCCTCGCGACGAATTCTCCGCGTTCCCCGTCATTCCCTCGACAGCCGGCAGTCGTAATTGGATGCCTCGACTTCGCCGGCTTACGACGGCTGAATCTTATCCCGGCTCGGCTGACGGTTAACCGATAATCACACGGACGATTCCACGAATTCATTAAGATCGTTAGCCGTCTTGGGATTTTAATTGCCGCTGGCGAATCGTGTTCTGGTGAATTACATTGATACGCGATTGTTCGTTCCATCTAGGGAGGGGATGTTATCTTGTTTAATATCTCGTTTACGTTCTTCCTTATCTGGAACGAAAGTTATCCTAACGGATAACAATTACATCGAGTCCCTTAACTCAATTCAGTGAATTGGCGTTTTCTTGTAATGCTATTAAGTGATTTTGTCAACTTCGGTGTGATCAGAAAGGATCATGTAGACTCCCACGTATAATGCGCTTCAAGAAGATACATATCTAGGATACTCGTGAATTTTTGCTCTATATAATGTTAATAAATTGGCGATTATTTTTGACAGAATTTCTAGAAATGTTAAACAAAACTCTGTATTTTTATTCGAATCACAGAAATCAGCAATCTGCTTTTCACTGAATAAACTTTTTAATCTGCCAATGGACGCGAACATAAGGAGGTCGAAGTTCAAGAAAGTATCTAGCGAGCCAAACAGTTTCGTTGAACCAATTTAATCTCGTATCTTTCCTCTTTTCGAGATCTTTATCCCTACCATCGGTCCAAATGTCGAACGAGTGCAATAATCCGTTTCCATTTCACCTTTATTTTTTACTTCCATTGCTCTGCCGTACTGCTATTAATCCATTTCGAATACCTTTATCATAATATCATTATTTCATTTTATTTTCATCTTCCCAGCGTATTGAAAACGCACCGGTCGCCTTGTCCAATTTATCTTATAACCCGATTTTAATTAATTTCTCTTATAATAATTGCTAATTAACTTTGAACAAAGATAACTGGAATTGATCAAAAAATTCACACGTAAAAAGAAACACGCTTTGTTTTGAGTAGTTATTTTTTATTTACGCAACATATTATCTCTGAGATTTGTTCCGCTTGTTTCGTACTTAAAGCTTCTTTCGAGGTTTGCGATGCGAATCTCTGCCGAGGAATAAATTTTGATTGATTCTTCTACGAGTGGAATGACGTCAATTCGTTGCGTGTGTTCGTCTTCGTTTGACGACCCATCAAGACGCGTATCTGTCTTAAGAGCCGCCAGACTAATGGCACGTTCCTAATGCCGATGCAACTTTGGGCGCGATCAACCCGGTCGAATCGTTAATCCAATTTACCCTCTGCGAGGAGTTGCCCCGAAACTTTCGCCCACCCGTCCGGCATGATCGGTTATTCGGACTGGCTTATGATAATCATCCTCGAAAGAACTTTAAACTCCGCGCCTAAGTTCGCGCACTGGATATATCTGTATCCTCTGTCGCTCGACTCCTTGTGGAAACAAGAGAAGAGCTTTTCGTGCGCGAAACGAAAATTCTGATGATAACTTTCTTACCAACGAAATTGTATCAAGAACTCTGATTGCTTCTTTTAATCCTTTCATATTGATATCTGTCTCGATACTCATGTTTAAAGAGGATGTTATGCGATTGTTGTTTCTTCAAACGTTTTATAAAAGAAGTGACATTTTAATTGATGAATAATCCGAATTTATTATCAAGTCAGCTGTTTATTTTTTCCCTTTTGAAAATTTCATTACACACAATGGATCGATAAAATCCGTAGCACGCAGAGACAGGAGAGGAAGAGAATTACGGGAAAGGAATAATAATGCGAGAGACGCGCAAAAGCGCAACACGTTTTCGTCAGAATTTGAGAGAAATTGAAAAATTCCAACGAAAAAGCCGTGTTTTAATTTTGTCTATTCGCAAACGGCTATAATTCGCGACGTAATAAAGCTGTGGGTTGTACGCCAAAATTGTCGCACGTTTCGCGGAGATTGTTCATCTTTCCTTTTTGCAATCTCGAAGGGTCCTTTACAGCTCCATTTCGTTTCTAAAGAGACACTCGGGTGAAGATCGATTGGGCGAAACGCTGCTCAAGACTGATTGAAAAATTAAGACTCCCAGTTTTATCACGAAAGGTTTCTTAATTCGACTAACTGTGTAACATGGAAAATCAATCGCAATGAGAGCCGTAACTCGTCTTATAATTGGAATGGTCGGGATACTTTGGAACTCATCGAGAGAAGCGGAATGCTGAGAGATTCGATTAAGATATAAAGAACTAAAGCCGACCCACGCCGCTCGATTTCCATCGATTTGTTCAAGAGAAGTTATAACCTGGAACCGTGTTACTCTAATTTCGCCAGATGTTACTAATCACAAGCCTCATTTTGCGCAATTACTCCTTACGCAAATATGTTTTCGCATCAGACTCCCGTTTACAAGGTTCATTGCGTGGATGTCAAATGTGCAATACAAACGCATTAATTTGCACACCAATGGTAATTAATGCATCTGGTTTCAATATTAATTTACGTACTCTAGCCGAGAGTAGCCATCGTCTACTTGTTAATTAAATCGCAACGTTGCATTATCGAATTGTATTTGCAATTAGATGCCATTTAATACCATAATGAAAACCGCTTAACGGAAAGAAGTGCATCTTATTATTAAAAATTAAAATGTGTATGTAAGCATACAGGGGATTTTTTTCTTAAAATTTACCTATACATTTTACTAGTAAATGGTAAAATTTCGGAATAAAATTCTGCAAAATGTCATGTTGTTCCATAATTACATGATTTTAAGGGTAAAGTTTAAGAAAAAATTGTCTCTGTGTGGAGTAGCGAAGAAATAACAGAGCCAGAATAGCATGGAAATTTTGAGGAACTAATTGAAATTTGGCTAGCCGAGTAGAGATAAACGAACGCTTTACCGTTCTGCGAGGTCATGGCACGCCATAAGCCCTTTCTCCTGGAGATATCTGGTATCCGGAAGGTGTATTCTACGCTTCCAGACTCCTCAGTCCACAATAGTCTCAACGCAGCGTGATCTAGCGGTCTCAACTTGACGATCGGACAAGACTCTACGACATAGGAGCCGCCCGCTGGCTTTGTATGGTCCATCTTGTGTTCCAGAACTTCCACGACGTACCATTTACCCATTATCTGTAAGAAAATGTTTTCATCAGAATCGACCTGAAAGATCTCTTGAGCGTGTAGAATACGCTAAGCGCTGAGTATGGATAAAAAGACACTCCACCCGTTCGATATCCTTCCGCAAACATCATTTTCCCTTAAGCTTCAATTTGTAAGATACTCGAGATATTAAAAAGTTAGGAAGAAGAAAAAAAAAGATAAAAATTTCTGGCTCGGGGAAAATTAGTTCTAGATCGGTCAAAGAGCTTACAGACGGTGGAAAGTGCGGGGACACCAAGTGTGTGCGCGGGGGAGTCTCTGGGAGTAATCCAGCAACTTCGGGGAAAGTAGGTACAGATAATTCCGCGAAGAGCTTAAAGCAAATTACGAGCGATTTATTGGCCGCGCGGCCGTTAGTGATTAAGTCCGTGGAAATAATATCATCGAGGGCCGAATAACCACCGAATCCCGATCAGCATAATGCGCTCGGGATTTTTTTTTCTCTTTCCAGCTCGATCGTTTCGATTTTATACCTCCGTAAAATCTTGCTCTAATCGGATTGCGCCGCGCAATACTGAAGCTCGCTTAATAGTAATCCGTACATTTATTCGCTAGATTTATCTTTTATTATATCCGAAGTGTCGATTGACCTCGCAACTCTGCGGCTTTTGTGAGGTCCCGTCGACATTCGTGATAAACAATGACACGGGCAATCTTAAACAGATAGTTATTTATTATACAGTAGTTGCGAGTATCGTCGAGGGGATAAGGAGTTCGTCAATCTTACTTGTAGTGACGTTGACTGATGCGCGTTAGAGAAGTGGGATTAGAGGAAGCTGAGGATTAAATGTACAAAGAATTAATCTCAACAAAATGTCGGGGAAAATCAGACGCCTGCCGATCTCGATTATACATATAGCAACGGCGTCGAATAGCGCAGACTACAAAATCGGTCGCAAGGCATTCCGTGAAAGCTAATCTTGACAATCCTTCTCACGTAACGCAGCTATTTTGTAAAGAAACTCGATCTTTAGAAAGCAGAGCGGCCAACTCCCTCGCCGGTATGCAATAAATGCAGCTTTTACTTCTCGCGTTCTCATCCGGGGAGGGAAACTCGATTTGGCTTTCGGTTTAATTTGCGCGTCCTGAAAGTTACACACTATACGCAAACGTAGGTAATTGTTTATTCAATTCGCTCGTATATTAAACACGATGCTAATGTAGCCATTGAAAGCGCTTAGGTTCAAAGTTGATGTACCGCGTTGATGCAGATTATCAACTTGTTGAGCTCAGATGGTACGATACTCGGTTTTGCCCGCGGGAACCGGCTAAGGAGAGTTCGTTGAACAATGACTATAATAATCCTTGCGAAGGTCCGAGGTCCATAAAGGCTCTAGTCTGGCTGCTTTGCCTTCGCGGTACCCAATGAATTTCCAGTCTCCCGCAAACGCGTCTCTCTGTTGCTTCGAGGATGATGATGTTCACAGAAAGCGCAATGCGCGAAATGCCGTTCTTATTAACTTTGAGCTTATTAATTTCTTTTGTCATCTATTTTCCCCCTTGAAACTTTTAGAGAAGCAGAAAAGATAAGACGCAGGGAGAGAGAATTCGTCGAAAGTTCGTTGTGCTCAATTGTTAATTTTGACAATTGTAGACACTCGGCCTTTCTTGCCACATTTTTACAGGTCGAGAGAGCTTCGGCGAAAACGACATCCGGTAATTTCCGAGCACTCCGTGTCTACAAGTGAAACCGAAATAGACGCGGTTCTCGTTTTTGCAAGTAGATATATGCGTATCCACGTGTACCGCGTGCATGCATGTGTGTACGTGCGTACACACCCCGGCTTTATTGTACCGGAAAAGCGCCGTAAATCATTGTCGTCGAGGTGTACGTGATACTGGGTCACACAGCGTGGTCGGGGGATTAAAATTAACGAGATAATAAATATGGCCTTTGCCGAATAGACCGCAAAAATTTCAATTGTCGTTTCGTGAGAATCTCGCCGCGTGAACAATCACGGTTTAAAACTGTTCTATTTTCATTTTTCTTTTTTTTTTTAATTTTTGAACAAACGTCTGCATGCAAATTCTGTTAATATTTAAACGGAAATCCGCAATGATGGCACGATATTATACGTACGAACTTGAAATTCTTTTGCATTAGAAAAATTAGAGAATTTACATAGAAATAAAAAGTAAGTAACTCTGACTATCATTTTCTGCGCAGATAATATAATAAGTATATATGAGACACAGCGACGAGAAAAGATAATGGAGATAATTTTAATCTTGCGCGAGGATCTTCACGAAGTTTCCTTCGCTCTTAAAAATACTGACTGCGTTACTGAAGTTTGTATAAGTAAGCTCCTCTTGTTCGTCTTTATGTCCTTACTCGCCTTGAAACCCCCGATGTGCGCCCGATAATAAACTTTACCGAGTTGCTTTATTATTCAATCTTATAAATAAGACATGTACAATGCCGAGGTAGCCGTATGTCGAAATTAAGGGAAGTTTAATCAAGTATCAACTTGAAAAAGATGAGACTGCTACGGGGCGCCCATAATAGATAGCCCGCATCGTCATCGCGCTAGCCTTGTAATTTATATCGTTGACAATGGCCGGATAAACACAAGCCTTCATTCAAGTTGCGAAAGTAGTTAGAAAAGTTTAATTGATATTCGGCAGCCGACCCATTATTACGTGTAACGCGATTACGTTACACGTCCCCTTGGACATTTCCGATTAGCCACTAAATTACGACCAAAGTCTGATCCAATTTACACATTCCCGTTATGTGCCACGAGATGTAAGAGAAACATCGTATATAAAAAAAATTATTAACTGAAAATATTATTGAGAGTGCGTAAAATATAATCATAATTGGGAAAGACTAAGAAACTTCGATTAAACATGTATCAGATAAAATTAAATTCTTCCGCGAATTGAGCAGTTTACATTAAGTTGTTTTCTGGTTCACAAAAAAAATCCCTTCATTGATGTTTTTTTTTATTTTCTCTGCCAACTTGGCAATATTATTTCTATAAAAAAATTTTTCGGTTTTACGCTCATAAAATTCAATCCGTCCGGTAACGAAAAATCGTATTATTTGTTGGATGAATTGATACACTGTATGCATCATGGCATTTTGAACGATACGAGCGTAATAAATGTACTTTTTTTGCGAATTGAAAGCATCACCGACGTGAAATGGTATAACAATCGCGCGGGGCTTTAAAAGCCCAGTGTTCCGAATAATCTTATATCCTTTTTAGTAGGTTTAACGTTCATTTATTTTAACCAGTAGTTTTTCACGTGGGAAGATTCGCCGCATAAAATCGGATAAAAACCGCCGGCCAGGCCACAGCGATTTTAAGCTCGACGCATTGCCAAACTAAATCCGCGCTACTTGTGGCAAAGTCCATTTAAAGACCTACAAAAACTTATTTTTTTTTTAAGATAAACTTATACAATCTATGCTATAACTAATTTATAACGACGATCGATCTCACTACAAATCGGTGAATTATCACTGAAAACAGTGAGTAGTCATTGATTTATATTATATTATAATTACTGATTTATAGTTAAAAGTATACCACTGTGATTTAAATTATTTTCAATGATAATTCACTGATTGAGAGTACAGTGAAAATTTCACTCGAATCTTGGTGTCACTGACTACTTCACTCTATTCGAGTGAATATTTACTCCAATAGAGTGAATTAATTCACACTCTAAGACAAGTGACGAATTTTACTCTTATTTTTCAAGTGAAGCGTTAGCACTCGAAAATTCACTGCAACTTAAAGTATTCCGCCACGAGATGGCTACTGAACTCGTAAGATCACGATAGCCCGGCCCGTGGCGGTTCTTCCGCGACAATCAGTAGAATAAGCAAAACTGTTATGCATAAAGTAAAAATTTGCAGTACTGGCTGTGAATATTAGAATACAGCCTCTATATGCGATGCTCATAGCGAACAAACAATAGCGACGCTCTCGTCCATGAATTTTATACCGCTGACAATAATCGATTGACGTAAACTATAGCACTCTTTTCAGAGTTGAAAAATCAATCCAAGTAAAGAGTGAATAATGGCGCTCTTTCAAAAGTGAAATTGCACTCCAGTCGGACTGGCAGTATTTTTATTATTTCTTTGTGTGAAATCTCACTCCAAAAGCGTGAGATTCCATTGCAACAAATTTCGAGAGTACATTTCTCTTTTTCTTAATTTGAAGAGTTAGCTCGTTTTACGTCTGCACTCGGGGCAAAACTTGTTCCTCCTGTTTAGTATCGTAATTAAGATTAATTATTAATATATGGCGTTGTTAAACACTCTGCATAATAATTCTTGCTGTCCAAGGACTTGCCGATGAACTCGGTTGACCCCGCGCAAATTCGTGAATTATAATTACAAGCCGAATAATATACATGCGTTTTGTCTGGGCGCGGCGACGCGACGCTGGGCAAAATTGCCGGCAAATAAACCGGCGCGTCGCGCAGGGATAAATTTTCGTTTATTAGACACTACCGGACACCCGGCACGGACGCGCTTCGTGACTTATGCATTCGCTATCGTAACGAGAACGTCAGCGTTTTCACGGGAATATTGCAGTAATTAGTAGCAAGGTAAATTACCGTACGCGTACGCTAATAGCGGGTAATTTTCGAAATAGGAAAAAAAAAGGAGCGACGTGACGCGTGTTTTTTCCGAGTTGCACCTCGTTTCGGTTGCCTCATCGATCACGCGACAAGAGTAAAGAGAGGGCAGCCACCCAAATATATATTCGACTGCCCAAACTCGGCTCGCTACTCGTATATCTCGTTTCGAAAACTTTTTCTCTCGCAGCAGCAGCAGCAGCAGCTTGTACCTTACGGGGTCATGCGAGAAATATCCAAAGGATATACGAAGCAAGGGATATACGCTCGTAGTCTTGCGAACCGTCTCCGAAATACTTGCCCTTTCGCCTTTCGTAATACATATTTGCGAATTGAGGAGGCCAACTCATTCCCGCGGGACATGGCTTTCA